AATGTGAAAATGTTTTCAAACTGCTATGTAAACCAGCAGATATTGCCACAGCATCATTTTTCTTTGTCGAAGCAAACTAATAATATGTCTGTTTCCCCTACAGGAAAACCAGAGATGAACTAAACTGCTACCAGGAACAATGCGATGCAATTCTGAAAGATGTTATTGCAGCTCTGGAGCACTTGGACTCCCTTCAGAAACAGTATCTGTTTGTGTCCAATAAGACTGGTACCCTACATGAGGCCTGTGAACAACTCCTAAAAGAACAGGTAAGGTCACCACTGTCCTGTCTGTCTTTGTAAACAGGTTGATTGAAATGATAATCAAATTGCTGAGATTTAAAGTGTGCAAACTACAATTAAGTAGAGATGCACTGATAACAACTCCGATACTGATTTCCAATTTTTGTTAGTCTAAATATAAGTCAATGTATTCTGTTTTTTTTGTTTTTTTTGTATTCGTAAGCAAGAACATCTCTCCCAAATCCAGAACTGCAGAATCATCTGTAGTATCTGTATGATCTAAAATCAGAAGCTCTACAGAATTGAAAAAATGTATAAAAACAACTGTGGATGTGCCTAAATGATTCACTGTAGATTACTGAAAATGCCATACATGAACTAGTTCTGAACAACCTGACACACATGAAAGCTTGTCTGAATATAAAATTGCTACCAAACATTAGGCAGACTGCTGTTTGTTCTTTCAGTGGCATCTTTAATCTTATTGATGCTGCAGTTTTCTTTCTTTTGTCCTTGCTTTTTTCCCAACTCTTGCAGAGAGCTGCTTCTGTTCACATAAATATGTAGATTGGACCATTCAAGGAACTTGCGTCTGAACTGAAATTAAACTGTCATGCCGTATTGTGTCAACTTCTGTTTGTTGTTTTCTCTCTTTTGTAGGCAGAGCTTGTTGACCTGGCAGAGAGCATCCAGCAGAAATTGTCATATTTCAATGAGTTAGAAAACATAAACACGGTATGCTGGGTTTCTCCTGGTTTCCATCTTGAAACATAAGACAGCTAAATGTTTGTAGTGCAAATGATGTCCGTGCATTACTTGGATATTATCATAATCAGCAATATGTCCCCGATTAAAAACCTTATGAAGGTCTTTGATGTCAGCATCATTTTTTGTTTTTACCTTCAAAAATGTTTCATAAAATGAACATCACCTATAAGCCTTTAAAATACAGTATAATAGAAAATTAGTAAAAAGCAGTTTTGCAGATTTGCTTTGACCAGGGTTTAAAGTCAAAACAACACATTTCTGACACTGACATCCAAATAAAAAAAATGTTTTGATGATAAAGACCGAGAAAGAGCAGGAAGATGATGTGTTTCTCTTTTTCTTTGCCTTTACAGAAGCTAAACTCCCCAACCTTGTCTGTAAATAGTGAAGGATTTATACCAATGCTTTCGAAATTGGATGACTGCATTGAATATGTTTCTTCACATGTAAGTAGCTTGCACTCTTGACAGAGTTTCAGTTATGTGCAGATGTAAATATTTTACCAGTAATAAAATAATGAAACGCCTAACAATATACCGTTGTCTTGTTACAATAACAGAAATGTGCTGCCCTTGTAATATAATCTATATATTGGAGCATATGGTATGTGTTCACAGTTAAAACTATATAACACTATTTCTGTTTCTATTGATTACAGCCCAATTTCAAGGACTACCCAGTTTATTTGGCCAAGTTTAAACAATGTCTTTCTAAGGCTATGCACTTTATGAAAATCCACATTGTAAACACTATGCAGAATCTCACAAGCCAGTTAACAAAAAGGGTAAGAACAAGTCACATTTCATCCTCCTAGACAGTCGGTGACCAAAAGCATTAATAATGTTACTCAATATTAATATTTCATTCTACTTTCTTTTTGTGTCCTCCAGGATCCAACGGGCTTGACCAACGCCGACAATGCCTTCACACTTTACTATGTGAAGTTTCGAGCAGTTGCACCTAAAGTTAGCGTGAGTGTAATGTTTTGTGTTACCCATTCAATTTATGCAGCACACCCGTTTGCATAAATCATTTTCTGTAATGCAATGACATTTTCATTTACCCCTTTTTTGTCATTCAGTCACTGATTGAACAGATAGAACAGCGAGCAGAGAAGATTCCAGAGTGAGTATCGGCATTTCTCCAGAGTGAAAGTAGTTCAATTATGTGTTTTTTAAACACATAATTGCACTAAATTAGCTTATCCTTCCTTACGTTAATGTGAACAGATACTCTCGGCTCCTTGGTGAAATCCATCAGTGCTACCTTGACCAGAGACAGCAGCTGCTGAGTCCCAGCATCACATCCACCATTACTGACCTGACCAACCAAAACAAAAAAGACCACTGTGCTCTGGTAAGAAATGACTAGTATAAAGCAGCGCCTGTTCTTTATATATAGTAAAATGACATTTAAGTTGGCACACAATGCCCAGTATGGAGCCTATGTGATATTTTCTAGTGTTCAGCACAAACACATGATAAATGAGCATGAGCCAAGGGTGTGTGCAGCGGGCATCCGGGGCTTTCTCCTGTTTTGTTCATTAATGCATTGCTGTGTAGAGACATGGTGATGTTAGTATACCCTCAGTCATGCCTCATCTATTAATCTGTGAGTCATTGGTCCTCCTGTGTTTGAAAATGTAACTATCCTAATTACTGATCCAATATTTTTATTCTAATGTAATGCTTCAGTCAGACCTGATCCAGTTTTGGCACCTGGGCAGACTGTGATTGCTGTGTAGAGACATGGTGATGTTAGTATACCCTCAGTCATGCCTCATCTATTAATCTGTATCTCAGACTGTATTTACTGACACACTTGTGGCATTTAAAACATTTCACTAATTGGCTTGATGGAGCTGCTATAATTAAAGGTCAGGATTTCATGAAATTAGATATCATAACAGTCACCCTGTGTGTCCTGATTTTTTTTTTTTTCTTCTTCAGTGAAACTTGAAAGGTTATGCATCTCATTAATGATTGCTGTAATAGCTACTTACATCTTTAATGTGGGTGGTTGTGTCTGTTTGTGTGAAGTGGAGCAAAAGCAAAGTGCTGGTAGTAACTGCAGTGGGCATTCATTATGTGCATTTGTACAGGTTCGCAGTGGCTGTGCCTTTATGGGCCATGTGTGCCAGGATGAACACCAGCTGTACAATGAGTTCTTCTCTAAACCTACATCTAAACTAGAGTGAGTAGCACTGAGCACACATTGTCTTCTGTGTATTTGTTTAAAATGCTTTATAATGCATGATAGTCTTTTCACGTTTTGCTTGATATGTTTGGTGTTTGAATGCCAGTTTACACAGCATTACACAGTATTACTGTTTAAAATAATAAATCATTATTTAAAAATGTGCATGTTTTTAGTCATTATTATTTCTTTGTTCCTTAACTCGATGAAAACCCTAACGCTTAAAATGAAAAGAAAGTGTAATTTTAGAATGTTTGCGCTTACAAAGTGATGACCTTTTTCCCATTTAAAACAGCGAGCTGCTAGAAAAATTATGTTTGTCCCTGTATGATGTCCTCCGGCCTCTAATCATCCACATCATCCACCTGGAAACCCTCTCTGAGCTCTGCAGCATCCTCAAGAATGAGATGCTGGAAGACCACCTTCACAGCAATTGTAGGTTCAAGCCTTTGTTCTCCTCAAACCATCTCATTTGTCACAGGGGGAGTTTAAAACTGAGTCGCTAGGATGCACCTGTGCCAGAGTTATAGTGTTATAAAATGGTCTCTCAAAGGAAAATATTTAAGTGTATACCCAAAATTTCCATTTCTTTATAACACCAAAGAAAGAAGAAACCACCCCCCCAAATTTTATGAGCTGTAATTAAATGTAAAATAAGGCATACAGAAGGATGTTCTTGGGTCCTTGGGGTGTAATTTCACTATCATGAGGTTGATTACAGTATTTTGAATTGAATAAAACTCCGGTTTTCAGCCTTAATTATCAGTGAAAATTCTACTGAAAACATAAAACATCACTCTTCAGAAAATGTACTCATAATTTACTCAAGTTTTAATGAAACCCTCTCTTACATTTGTTTGTTCAAAATCACAAACACGGTGTGCTTATTGAAGTGTCCAGTCCACTGTAGTGGGTTGGTATTTGAGACGACAAACTGCAGGGAAAGTTTACAGCTTTAGAGAATGCAAGGGAACACAGTGTTTGCTGTTTGACGTTTGAGGACTTTGTTAAAAATGGCACAGTACCTTCTTTTTTTTTTTTTTTTTTTGGTTTAGTTTAGTAATTGGTAACCAATAACCATCCGCACCTTCTGATTTCCCATTATGAACCCACCATGTCCAGCATAAACTGCAAACTGACCTCTTTGTGCTTTTATGCAGCTGCTCCGTTGGGAGCCTTTGACGCAGTAGTGAAGCAGATGCTGGAGGATGTCCAGGAGAGGCTGGTCTACAGGACACACATTTACATCAAGACTGATATCACAGGCTATAACCCAGCTCCAGGGGATCTGGCCTATCCTGAGAAACTGCAGATGATGGAGGTAGGATTTGTATGCTCAGAGGGATGTCGATTTTTCCTTTTTGATGTCTTCCCAAGCAAAACACTCAGCAGTTGTATTCACCTCAGCTTCTACTCAACCGGCTTTACACAGAGTGGATGTAATTAGGGCTGCAGCTGTTGAATGCTTTCATTATTTGTTAATGCATTGTTTTGATTAATTGTTTAGTTACAGTGTCAAGAAATAGTGAAAAATGGTCCTCAAGTTTTAGAGCTGAAGGTAATGGTTTTAAAAAAATGCTTGTTATGTCTGATGAATCTTGAAATAAAAGAGAAAATAGCAAATGCTCGCATTATAGAAACCAGGAACATTTAAATGCTTGGCTCTGTTGCTGCATAAATTAACTATCAAAAATGTGTTAATGTTTTTGTCTGTTGATTGTTTTAGCATAAAATGTAGCAGCATGAAGTTGGATGCTGCTCTTTCTGAAATTGTTAGATTCTTTAATTTGTTAATATCACAAGGGAAAAGTAAACATGGCCAGCTGTGGTGTAGCATTTGAGTAAAATAGTTGTCTGCATGTCCTTAGAAAATCATAATGGTTCCAATTTAATTATGTAAATGAATTGTACCCCTGATTGTGAAGGCATATGTTCATATTGTTTTTTAGCTGTCTGTCAGTTTGTTAGTTTTTAAACTTTTTAGCAACTTTTATGTTATGTTAAGGTTTTTAAAACCTGTACACTTTCCATTTTACACAAAGATAAAAAGTGACCTTCCAACATCTAACACTTTGTCTATGGCTCCATGAAAAGTCATGAAGGTTGAAGCTGAATTAGAAAAGCTAGCACTGTTCTAACAGCTGCCATTGCTTTGCTGTTATCGATAGAAAATCGCTCAGAGCTTGAAGGAAGAGCAGATGAAGCAGATGTCACAAGAGTCAGTGTTTTCTGATGTACGGCTTGAGGACACTGATAGCAGAAGAAACAGCAATGCTGGTCTGTGTTTCCAGATTGTGTCACTTGCCATTTTACAACTTTTGGTGTTATTGTCTATTTGCCTGATGGCTCTTCCTCCTTTGTGCATTGAATACAGGGACTGTAGAACCATCGCGCCTACAGTCATCTATCTCTCCTGCTGATCTGCACGGCATGTGGTACCCTACTGTCAGACGAACGCTGGTTTGCTTGTCCAAGCTCTACAGATGTATAGATGTGAATGAGTCTTTCATTTTTATTAGTCACTAATTTATAGTTTCCTATCCTGATAGATGACAAAACATGTAGCATCTAGTTTTTCAGTGTTTGCATTTCTTACTCATATGTTTCTTACTGTGGATTGGTCTTTTTCCAGAGAGCAGTCTTCCAAGGTTTATCTCAAGAAGCCTTATCTGCCTGCATCCAGTCCTTGCTTAAAGCATCTGATATCATCCTTAAAAACAAGGTCGGTGCTCATGTTTAAGTGTAGAGTATGGTTTTGTATGTTTTACTGAACTGTTTAGTTTTTTATTTATATCATAAATAGCTCAGTAACCACCTTTCTTGGACCTACTAAATAAGATCCATTTTATTCACATTCTTTTCAGGTTACAGGATCCTTAAGTAAAACAGCTGTGTTGCCATTTAACATTTACTTTAGCAGGTGTTCATTATGTGTGTTCAGCAGACCGTGCTTTATTTATGGGCTTCCCTCAGCTTCAAATCTGCTGTCAATAATTGTGCTAACTGGCCTGTTTCAACCTAACACTTCAAATTAAAGACGCTGCATCAATCTCAGACAATATGTTCCCACCCCGTGCCGATTATGTCTCTTTCCAATGTTTAAATTGCTGGCTGAGCAGTAAATAGCTTCAGCTGCCTTTTTTTTTTGGTCCCAGTAATGTTCTTTTCCAGCTATGGTTAATCAGGAGTTATTAATTAGACATATTCCCCTTTTGTTTCTGAGCCTGTGCTTTTTTTCTGCTGTCTGTAGCTTTGATAGTCAGCAGATGCCCTTTTGTGTTGGCAGCATGTAGTGTGGATTTAACAGTGCGCTATCACTTTCTGTAGACACAAATAGATGGGCAACTTTTCCTGATCAAGCACCTGCTGATAATGCGTGAACAGATTGCCCCATTTCACACCGATTTTGCGATCATGGAAATCTCAGTGGACCTGAAGAAAACACGAGGTAAGATAATTAAAGGTGGAGGGAACATTGCTGTTCGGCTCCATAAAGCCAGTCATTACATTCTCATGCTCATTAAGCAACTTGTGTCTATCACATGCACCAGTGGCAACAATTAATGTGGAAATTACAGTGTAATCCAACACCATAATGTACATTAACCGATGGCTCACAGGGCAGATTCGCTCCTCCCATCACCCTCATCTCAGTCAAGGTCATATAAAAATTGTAGCACTAGAGGGCACTCTCATTCTGCATCAGCCCTGATTTAATCTCTCTGCTTTGTGTTAAGATGCTGCCTTCAAAATCCTGAACCCTAAGACTGTTCCCAAATTCTTCCGACTTAACAGTCACAATGCCATACTTGAATTCCTGTTGGAGGTAGTGTTATTTTTATGTATTTTTTTTATTAAACATACCATGCACTCTCTGTACTTTGATAGCACCCTGCCTGAGGGAAATGCCACTTGATAGTGCTAAATCCTTTTTCCTCATGGCCCCCAGGGATCACCAGAGATAAAGGAGCACTACATTGACTCTAAGAAGGATGTGGACCGACACCTGAAGTTCAGCTGTGAGCAGTTCATCCAGCAGCAGACTCAGATCTTTGTGGGGAACCTTGAGGAGTTTCTCACCAAGGTAACTGTAAGAGTGAAGGCAGACTTAGCCTCAGGCAGCAGTAGCTCATTCTGACCTTCATTTTTTTTAGTTTTTACCTTTGAAACCTTTTTAAAAATCATTTGCTTATTCACTGATCACTGAAGGTCTCGGTATTTTACTGACAGCTAAAGATTTTTCATCTAGAATTTCTAATTCTGTTGCTAGGCATTAGTGGGTGTGTGTTTTTGGTATTTTATTGCGGTGTGAACTCTTTGTAATGCCATAATTCTGCTGCAACAATTGGTTGCATGTCTTAAATTCTTCCCACCACACTCGGTGTTCTATTATGTATTGAAATACTCATTGTCTTACTCAAGGCTGAATTGAATTGGCTCAGGTACCAGCACAGTCTCCAGTGTTTGTTTGTACTGATTACAGTAATTAGCACAAATAAAGTTATTTTTAAATGGTAATGTGTGTTTTGACTGTCTCTGCACTCAGGTTGCGGCTCTTAAAACTATGGCTGTCCAAGGTGGTCCCACTTACAGTCTGTCACAGCAACCTTGGGCACAGCCGGGTAAGATTTGTCTCAGCAAATGCCACTGGCATCATACTGTAATTCATCAAAACCTGTACAGCAAATGCTAGAGGGCATGTCAATGTTTGTTTTTTTTCCCTCCCTCAGTACTTTTTTTTTTTTTCCTCTTTTCAGCAAAGATCAACGATATTGTGATGGCTACCTACCGGGTGATGAAGAGCAAGCTGCCAAGCACTTTGCAGAGCATGTCCTTGTACTTAGCCAATAGAGACACAGAGTTCATCCTTTTCAAGCCTGTCCGGGTGGGTGGCAGAAACGTTAGGGTGTAGCATGTACTGCATGAGTCAGTTTCTTTCAAGTCATTGTCAAGCTCAAAGAAACTTTTCATACAGTATTTACAAAGCAGCAGTACACAAAGGTCCGATCAGTTTGTTTTTTCTAAATTATAATAGATGTTGAAATTAAGGTTGATCAGGCTGCGGTGTTTGCTGATGTTACCGTGTCACAACATCAGAAATCATTCATTATATGCATTTACTCATTAGTGAGGGTTAGTCATTGTTGTAAGGGGCCTGTTGGTCATTTTTAGAGCGCTTTAGATAATTCTCTGTTTGAATTCATGTCTAGGGCCAACCCTTTTGTTTCTCTTTGGTTTGGAGATTGTGCTTTTAGCTGTAATTTGTAAGCATGATTAAACCCTAATAAAGAAATCTTTGTGCTGCCTGTGTACTGTTCATCAAGGTGCCAGGTGAAGCCAAATGAGAGAGAAACAAAATTCTTCCGTTGACATGGAAACAAGATACTGAGGGGACATAGGCCAGATGGAAATGTGGTGTTAATTTCCCTCCAGCACTCAGTAATCTGATGGCTTTTTCCACAGAATAACATCCAGCAGGTGTTCCAAAGACTGCACACTTTTCTTCAGGAGGAATACAGCGGAGAGGACCTTCAAATCATTGCATGTCCATCTATGGAGCAGGTAATGTAGTGCAAGATTAGTAGAGCCCAAAGGCACCTGACATGCTTGTAATATTACCGCTGTAACATGCAAAACTGCTGAGAGCAACTTCAGCAGGGAAACATTAGATAAGTATACCAGCTAAGTCCACGGTGAGCTCTCATCATTTCTCACGGCTCTCTTTCAGATTAACCTACTGCTGTCTGTGAATAAGTAATACCCTGGTTTGGGTGTGGCGTGCTGGCGAACACACACTGGAGAGCAATGTGATGCTACAACTCCAGGAGGATAAACAGCAGTCATGTCCAGAGAACTGCACCTGAGCTAAAACAAAACAAAACAAAACAAAAAAACAGTCCCGCACAAGGTCAATGATTGTCAAGAAATGAGGAGTATGAAGAGGTTCAGGAGGTATTCATTTTGAAATCAACAAACTGGGAAGTGGAAGGCATGGAGTACAGACTGCATCATCTTGCTTTACTAAAATTGAAGGTGCACATGCATTTTGGGTTGTTTTCATGCAGGAGAAATCCTTTTTGAATTTGCACACTATGTAAAGTTAGGGGGTGAATTATATGACTATGTTCAGACAAGGACGTTCTTTTGCAAATAGAGGCGCTAAAGGGTCGCTCATCAGCCAGGTAGCTAATGGCCAGTAAGGGGCTTGTATTCAGATGGATAGACTCCCTTGATGGGTTTGGAAGAGTAACGAGAAAAAATGCTGCAAAATATTTTATTCCTCTATTTTAAATTGTATCACATTCAGTGAAACTATATGACCTAATGTGCTATCGGATACTCAGGTCCAACAGGTTTTCTTTTCTGATCATAGCAAAATCCACGCAGCTTTTCTTTCCTTGTCAGAAACGTTCTTAAAGATTCTTCGTTTTCCTTGTGACAGGTTTTGTTAATCTGTTGCAAATATGTAGAAGAGACAGATCTTATGTTTTATACTTCTTTCCTTTTATACCTAGGTTGATTAAAACTAATATGCATTTACTCTGGATATACGGACCTTTGACCTTGGGCAGTTTTGCACTCTATATAACTTACAGGTAATGGGTATCTTTTCTATGGGTCCTCACAGAGTAAGGGTCAAAGGACACTGTCAATGAAACATTTGCTTTGGTGTGTCCCATGTATAATGACATGTACAGTTCTATTTATGAACGTTCTGATTAAAAATAAATATTAATGAGCTTCGGTTTTATTTCTAGAAAGCACTTTGTCCCAGGATTCAAATTCAGGTGACATTAATGAGAAACTGCCATTCAAGGACATCACTGACTTTAGGGGGTCTTCTTGGCAGATCGTTGCTGTTTCATTGGCAGCTGCTGTCTTTCCATCTATGAGATGAAGCTTTGCTGGGTCTTGACCTTCTGTGAATTGACAGCCTTTTGATGAGCGGTGAGGGACTCGATGTTCTGGAGGAGGGCATTGATCTCTGCGCTCTTCTGCTCCAGATACCTCTGAGGCATGTCAGGCCCTGGCAGCACTAGACCTTCGCCTTGGTTCAGCTGCGACAGCAAGGAAAAGTGACGTAAAGGAGAATCGGTGACTTGGCTTAAAATTAGGTCTACTCGTCACATCCCTTGTATTTCTGCTACCGTTAAAAATACTACAAGCCACATGAGCTTACTTTCAGTTTTCCCCTTACATTAAGCTGTATACTGTGTTTGCCAGAGGTGAAATTGATGTGGTCATGGGACTGGATGCAAGTGTTGAGGTTAGGGCTCAGTGTCAGGGCGGAGCATTAACATGATGCTTATTGACCAGTCAGCTCCAGTGTTTCTTCAAATCTCCTGTGTCATTACAGAAGGTGCTTCTCCATGCAGTCAGATTCACCCTGATAAAGAGAAGGAGCTTGTGAACAGTAAGCCTCTCTGGGGTTTTATTGTCTCACCCAGACTGGTTTTTATTTCTGTCTGCTGCCCATTTTATCAATAATTGCGTTCAACTTAAAATGCTCCTACAGAGAGCTGGTGATAACAGATATTTACAAAATGATATGCTGGTTATATGCAAATTATATTTAGTCCACACTACACAATAAAATACTAGGAATGAGTAAACGACTAGTTATACCGAAGGCAGCCATTGTTGTGCTGTGGTGGAAAGTAACTAAGTACATTGACTCAAGTACTGTAAGTACAATTTTGTGGTATCTGTGCTTGAGTATTTTCATTTTCTCTCCACAGTTTAGAGGAAAATATTGTATTTTTTAACTTTTTTTGTGTATTTCTATACTGTTGTATTGCTACTTTTACTTAAGAAAAGGATCTGAGTACTTCTTCCACCACTGTTGTTGTGATAACAGGTGCCCTGTCCTACAGACATGAAAACTGCCTGAAGGTGAGGCCGCTGATGTTTGTCTTCCAAGACCACCCAAAACCAGTTGGGCCTTCCTGATGGGTACGGTAACTTTTAAACATGATTAACAACCAGACATTAAATATTTATGATATCATCCCATAAATTTTCACTTAGATCCACCTTAAAGGACACCACACCTGCCCAATTCCATCTGGAAAAAAAATCACAATAAATGTTTGACCACTGTTGTAGTGTTTAACAAGTGGCGTCGCCTTCTGTTGAGCAGACACTTAGTAATTCATGTATACCCTCAGCTCTAGTCATGGGGAGCATAGTGCAGCTCGGTTGTGTTTTGAACATATGACAGTACCTTCAGTCCAACATTTTCTCCACTGAAGGACAACATGATTTCAGTATCCTTGATATCTATGTCTAGAAATCAGTGTGTCTTCATGGCAGTCCAAGGAGAGTTGGCTGGCTAGGGTGGTAGAGACTTGTTGTCCTGTAATGTCATTAAAGATGCCATGACATTTACAAAGCAAAAGAAAATATATTTAAATTGAATCTGCATGAGATATTGGTCTGTGGTAGATGGTGTATGTGTAACCTGCTCTGACGATCTAAGCTCCTTTCCTAAACCTTCATCCTGCAGTGTATCATGGAAAGTGTAGCATAAGACGTTCAGTGGCATAGCAATTGAATTTGAAAGCCATTTAATGGTGGAAGCTAGTAATGGGACAGAACAGTCATGACCTTTGATCTTTCTGCACGGCTGCGTCCCTATCAGACATGGTGATAGCCGCAGCACCCATTGGCAAAAAAAAAGAAAAAAAAGAAACGAGAGAAACCTGAGCGATGTAAATGTGGAAATACTACTAAATTCTGTCTTTAAGTAAATGTACAACTATTATTTATTCATATTTGTTAATATTAGTTACCTTATGGATGTTATTTAAATTCCACAGAATTGAGAGGAATTGAATAATTTACTTTGAACGTCACCAGTTCATGAGTTCACATGGTCTGAATTCCCTCTGAAATTTTCAGTAGTCTGTGTAATGTCAGTGGCAACTGATTTACAAAATCAAGTGTCCAATATTTTACAAATATTCAGTAGCTCAAATTCAGTGAGTCAGATTCTAATCTAAAAATCTTAAGTAAAGTCAAATCATCAGGTTGCTCACTTTTAACTGGTGAAATTCAGACACCAGAGCTGAAGAAGCTAAGGAACATCTGAGCTACCAAAGATACATCTGGGTCATATAGTATGACAGTAAATCACATTATATGTTTGTTTTAAAACATAAACCAGTGAATATTGTACAGTTTGTATATTCTGAAACACTAAACAACACATTTATTATCTTAGTCTAGTAGGTTAAAATACTGACATTTGCTAATTAGCACAAAAACACAATGTACAACTAACATTGAAGGGAATGTCATTAGTTTTGCAGGTATTTGGTCAAAAACCAAAATACTGGACACATAACTTTTGACCTGCCAGAGTGAAAATCATCAGGTCACCAGAGTCAGTAGGATTTATCTCCTTGGAATCATTTGTACCAAATTTCAAGGCAATCCTTCCAATAGATGGGAAGTTATTTCACTCTCAACTGCAAATGTCATGACTCTTCTGAGCCTCATGACATGAAGGTTGGAATCTGAACACATTATCGGAATAGAAATTCATATAGGCAGTAGGTCACAAATCCAAATATTCCAGGTAATGAGGCATTCAGAACCCTTCGTACAGTTTGATGTTTTTAAAACAAACAGCAGCAGTGAAGGCAAGTTTCGATGTGAGACAAATAGATGCTTGTTTCATAAATGAATTCATACTTTTACTAGTAGAGGTAAAGGAGCAGTTTAAAAGTGGTGTTTTCCTCCACACCTCATTCAGGTTTGTTAAAGACTGATCAGTTTCTCCTTGGCAGGCTGTGGGAGTTCGGTGAGTCTCCTTGCTGAGAGAATCCAACACTTCATTATCTGGGGATGTCTCTAACTCCGATTTAAATTTTTTAGGAACGCTCTGAGAAGAAAAAACAAAGACACTTCATAGTTTATTCAATTCTTTGAGGTCTTTAGCTTGTGCTTCATGAATAAATCAAAACCTTGAAACTCTGTCTCTGGATACCATGTCATATCATCTTTCACAAGATAAAACTTATACTGTGACAAGGATAGACAAGGCCGTGACAACTCGCATTCAGAACGTCTTTGGCAATAGGAAAATTACCTCTAAAACAAACAAAAGACCTCATATACAATATGCTAATTGCATTTGTTCACCATTTGCCTAATGTCTCTCTACAAAGTGCATTTGAAATGTTGGGTTATTAACATAAAAATACTCAGTCCTGCTCATGCGCTGAGTATCCTAGCAAAGCTTTTACTTTGTCAAGGACATGTCATTAGTACAACTGAGAAAGAGAGTGATTTTACAAGCTACAATACATCATTATGAATTTGCTGTTGAAAACGTTCTCTGTGGTTTGTAACCCGACTTAACACATCATCTGCTGAGATAGGAATGAAAAGTGTAAGGGTGTGTGTATGTGTGTGATAGAAACTGTACTTTGACTGCACTCTTCCTCATGTCTGCAGTCAGCTTGTGTACCAACACTGATTCTGGTGACATCTCTCCAAACTAATGAATTGTCAGGTTATTCATGTGAGCTTACACTATAACCAGTTCTTTGTTATCAGTTTAATAAAACATGCATGTGGGATGTAATAACTCAAGCACTGCACTGCAAAGATTTAATCTGACCCTTTTTTTACAGAATTTTTGTTAAAACTGAACCAAAAGTTACATTTATTTTAAAAAAGACAGTTGTAGGTTTTTATTTCACTCTTAAAAGGCGAAACAATAGGGCATGCAAGCAAGATAATATATTTACCAATGATATTGAAAGCAACATGACAAGTGGATTACTTATAAATGATATTAGTGATCATCTACCTGTATTTTTGGTTTATGAGGGCCAGTATAGAAAAGAGAGGCCAAAAACAAATCTGTCCT